ATGGTATGGTATGATATGGTATGGTATGGTATGGTATGGTATGGTATGGTATGGTATGGTACGGTACAGTATGGTATGGTATGGATGGTATGGTGTGGTGTGGTGTGGTGTAATATGATATGGTATGGTATGGTATGGTATGGTATGGTATGATATGGTATGGTATGGTATGGTATAGTATGGTATGGTATGGTATGGTATGGTATGGTATGGTATGGTATGGTATGGTACGGTACGGTACAGTATGGTATGGTATGGATGGTATGGTGTGGTGTGGTGTAATATGGTATGGTATGGTATGGTATGGTATGGTATTGTATGGTATGGTATGGTATGGTACGGTACAGTATGGTATGGTATGGATGGTATGGTGTGGTATAGTATGATATGGTATGGTATGGTATGGTATAGTATGGTATGGTATGATATGGTATGGTATGGTATGGTATGGTACCTCAGCCGAGCTAATATAACATAGCATATTATGCCATACTGTATCACACCACAAAATACCATGTTTCATCGCATCTCATATTTTATCTCGTGTTTTCTTTCCACATTTCAGACGTTAGTACGCTACGATCAGATCAATGTTTCCGTTTTAAAGGTGAGTCGAGTTTCGATTATCGAATACGAATACTGTGAGTAAACGAAAATTTCTTCAATGAATTATCGTTAAATCCGTTAATATTTCAGGATGATCTTCCCGAATTTGAATTATATCTTGCGCCTGCGATTATAAGTGGTCACAATACTGTCATGGTCACGAAAGTTGATGATCGTTTGATGAAACAGTACAATATAAGGTATGTCATAGCGTATTGTATTTTTCAGGTGGGCGGGGGGGGTTATATATTAGTCCTGGCGGTAATATGCATAGTAGAAAGGAATATATCGATTATAGGCAATAATGATTCGCGCTTTTTTAATTAACAAGTCAGATTTTCCGCTATTGGCGTCACATTGCCTGCCAAACTTTCAGCTTCTTCTTTTAAAATTTTAAAAAGAACAGTAAGATAGACTATGAAAGCCAATGGACAACTCGGTCGACAACTGGCCTCTGTAGCTCAGTTGATTTGAGCGCTCCAACGGCGGGTGTAGCGGAATGATCATGTTAAAAATAGAAATCAGAAAAGTATTACTTGAGCTAATAGCGAGCTTAAACAAGCGACGTTTCTGGCAAAACGGACGTCAGATTACCGAGGGGGGAACTGGATTGAATACTGTGTTTGTATCAGTTTGTGGTACTCTTCAAAACATATGACAAAACATAAGAATTTTAAAGTTTTTTTTGTTTTCTTACACGAGCTCTATGAGGCAAAATGCCATCACAATTAGTAGTATGCCAATTTTGGGGTGACATAACATCGCTTGCTCAAGTTTCAAAATTTTTCATGGAAATCTATTCCACAGGAAATACGATGATATTGTCTCCGTGAATCAAGAAAGTGTCGTCGGAACGGATGTTGAGAAAGTCAGAAAGCTGTTGGAGGAAGCCGAGACTGATTTGAATCTGGTATGCAGGAGTGAATACAATTCCACTTAACTTGATATACAGATTTGGATTTATTAACTTTAAAATCATAGAAAAGTATAACAATGATTGAAGGTATCATCAACAGGACATGAGTCCCATGTGAAGACCAACAACCTATAGACATACATTAAAGACAAGGACTAGAATACTATTTACATAACTATATAAAAATTAATAGGTTAGATTATGAGCAACAGCTTGAAGTTGAAAGGACGGCATTTAGAATTAGAGCAGTAGGTTTTCCGAGTGCGCATTCTGTTAACATCGAAAGAAGAGTCTAATTGAGAAGAGTAGTGGATATGGAGCTGGAGCTTAAAGGAAGAAACAGATGAACTGTTACCAAGGATCGGGGAGAGATTGTTCCATAGAAAGATAATTCGGTTAATTATATATAATTTAAAAAAAGAGTTTCTAAAAAAGAGTTTCTTCATACAGACGATAATGTCGTCCCTCGATCCACTATCTCGATCATATTAAATGTTTCGTTTCGTTTTAGACATTGCGAAGATACAAGACGCCTTGTGAAATCACATTTGCAACAGAAGTGCCAATTCCAAAAAGATCTAAATTGGGTATGAATAATAATGTTGTAGTTTTAACAACTAAAGTGTAATTTAATTGTTTGCAACGAGTTCAATAGTATTTCTAAATTCCGAAAGTATTTTTCTAAATTTATATCCAGGTTTTGGAGTCCAGTGGGGAGTCTATATCAAACAACTTGCTTCAGGACTGGCAAAAGAATCTGGCAATGTCGAGACTGGGGATTATATTAACACAGTAAGTTTTGTATAGAGAGAGTTTTGAATTTTTTCTATCTTATTTATACGTATTTTTATGTAGTTTTTCTTTTCCTCATCAATTACTTGCTTTTTTAGATTAATGGAAAGAATCTTTCGAAAATTTTGTCCTCGGCCTTGGATAAATATTCAAAGCGAGGCGAAAAGATGTGTATGGAAGTTACAAGGAAACTATCACCTTCTGTTTGGAAGGTAAGATGGTCTAGACTAACTGTATTTATACTGGATATCTCTATCGGTTCTAAACTGTTCTTTCTAGAGGTCCAGTAAGGAACATCTCTTATTAATCCAGTGTTACTACAGGAGAAAATCTAATCTAAACTAAACTAACTTTATTTATACTGGATAGTGCTATCAGTTCAAAACTGCTCTTCCTAGAGGTCCAGTAAGGATCATCTCTTATTGATCCAGTGTTACTCCAGGAAGAAACCTAAACTAAACTAACTTTATTGATACTGGATAGTGCCATCACTTCTAAACTGTTTTCCCTAGAGGTCCAGTAAGGATCATCTCTTATTGATCCAGAGTTACTACAAGAGGAAACCTAAGCTAAACTAACTTTTGATTTATACTGGATAGCCCTATCAGTTCTTCACTCTTTTGTGCTTCCCACGTTATGAGTCATGCTGTGTATCTATAACTAAACAGACAACGGCAAAATCTAGCTTATCTATTTGTTCGCTAGTGCCCATGCCACTACAATGTGATGAGAAAGAACAACGTCATATTACGTGAAAAATACCCAAATCGAGACTCGGTCATCTCGATCGAAAGCAATCATTCATTTGCCGGCTCAAGTATAAGCTCTATCCCATCATACATTTCGAGTATTGACTCCGCCTCCGTTTGTTCTCCAACAACTGCGTCAGAAAGCGAAGGCCATTCGAAGACGGACCGAAGGTTTCCCGATTCTTACGCGATGGAAACAGGAGTTCCGCCTACAATTGCCGAAGAGTCTTCAACAGATGATAGCGTATTTCATGCGGCCAGAGGACGCAGAGTCCGAAGCATGACTTACTTGGCAAAACCGAAGCATATAAAGAAGGTATTCTAAACACATTATTTTAGCGAAGCGAAGGTGGACCGCTGTGGTTAGAGCGCTGTCTCTTGCCGCTGAGTTAAGCCTGCTACTGTAGGTCGAGGGTAGGGTATTACTTTAGGAAAGCAAAGATGACAGATGTAGTTAGAGTGCTGTCTCTTACTGCTGAGTTAAGCCTGCTACTGTAGGTCGAGGATAGGGTATTACTTTAGGAAAGCAAAGATGACAGATGTAGTTAGAGTGCTGTCTCTTACTGCTGAGTTAAGCCTGCTACTGTAGGTCGAGGGTAGGGTATTACTTTAGGAAAGCAAAGATGACAGATGTAGTTAGAGTGCTGTCTCTTACTGCTGAGTTTAGCCTGCTACTGTAGGTCGAGGGTAGGGTAGGATATTTAGGTGTAAAATTTAGGTGTAAAATTTAGGTGTAAAATTTAGGTGTAAAATTTAGGTGTAAAATTCAGGTGTTACAGCAATCTCGTTACCCGAGCCTCTCAACGATGGCTCTGGGTACGAGATTGTCCAACGTGTTGATATTATTAAATGACTTTTATTTCTTTTATTGTTAGCAAGATTCTCTGACTAGAGCTCAGTCTCTTGCTCATTCTCTCAACTCGGACACCAGCAGTCTTCGTCCTCGAAGTACGTCGCGTTCGTCTGCAACAATTTGTAGTAATGGTAGTATTGTGTCCGTGAAACAAGCTAGACCGGTTTCAGCAGCAATTCAACCTGTTACATTCACCGTTCCTGTATCAAAAGAAAGGTACGCTTGTGTTTTTGTGTTTTACGGGTTATGATTTTTCAAGCTTTCCAAACCGACGACGACAACGACAACGACAACGACAACAACAACAACAACAACAACAACAACAACAACAACAACAACAACAACAGCAACAGCAACAACAACAGCAACAGCAACAGCAACAACAACAACAACAACAACAACAGCAACAGCAACAGCAACGAAGTCCGACAACAACAACAGCAGCAACAACAGCAACAAGAACAGAAATTAACAACAATAGCGACAGCAACAACACCATTAACAGAAACAACAACAACAACAACAACAACAACGTACAGCAACACCAACAGAAGCAGCTACAACAACAACAACAACAACAACAACAACAGATACAGAAACACCAAAAAACTGTGCACTTAACATCAACCATTCTTCCTACAGATCTCGTGTTGTACGTTTGGACAAACGTTCAGAGGAATGTTTAGGTATGAAGATAAATGGTGGGAACTGTGCTGGGATTTACGTCACTGGATTTAAGAAACAAAGTCTAGCCGAAGAAGCTGGAGTCAGGATTGGCGATCGCTTGCTGCAGGTGAGAGAATTTGTGAACTTAATCAACGCTAGCTTATCCTGGCACGGTGATGTCAAGAAAACCTGTCCAAAACTTTTTCACTTCTGACTACAACAGCAAAAACAATGAATATCTTTCATTAACAAAGTTCAAGACAATATTTACTTGTTACAGTGAAATTCCTTGGTTATTTTATAGTTGAACAGTTACACAGTTAGTCAAGTTACGTTGGACTACGCAACGAGGATATTAAGAATGTTAAGGAATTGTAACTACATTAGAATGGAAGTCCAAAATTATACAAGTACGTTTTTAAAATACGTTTGTATACGGAGATCTTATAACCTTGGTAATTTACAAGATAACTGTTACTGTAATTGTATTAAAGTATTAATATTACGTGTCATTTCGTTTTCACAGATGTCGACGATGTTTTAAAAGAAGGAATACTAGATTCACTTTACGTGAGGTACTAACTCTATTTATACTGGATAGTTCTATCAGTTCAGAACTGTTCTCCCTATAGGTCCAGTCAGCATCATCCCTTATTGATTCAGTGTTACTACAGGAGGAAGCATAAATTAAACTAACTCTATTTATACTGCATGGACAGATCTATCAATTCAGAACTGCTGTTCCCAGAGGTCCCGTAAGGACCATCCAGCTCTTATTGATCCAGTATTACCACAGGAAGAAACCTAAACTAAACCACAGTGACTAAACTAACTTTAGTTATACTGGATAGCTCTATCAATTCAGAACTGTTCTTCCTAGAGGTACAGTAAGGATTATCTCTTATTGATCCAGTGTTACTACAGGAGGAAACCTAAACTAAACTAACTTTATTTATACTGGATAGTTCTATCAGTTCTAAACTGTTCTTCCTAGAGGTACAGTAAGGATCATCTCTTATTGATCCAGTTAATAACCACAGGAAGAAACCTAAACTAAACTGACTTTATTTCTACTGGTCAACTCTATCAGTTCTGAATTGTTCTCCATATAGAACAACATTTATTTTTGTCTATAAGCATTTACAGTCTTTATCACACTCAACAGGAAAGAAATGCATAATTACATAACACCAGTTGCTTAAATAACCATAATGGCCACGATATTTTATCTCCACAGAGCACGAGTATCTCACACTGCGAAGAGCCCCACAGAGTTGACCTACAGTATCGGTGACAAATTGCGGGTGACAAACACGAGAGCAAACTACGACCCTGCCAAGGAGACATGGCAGTGGCATGCTGTCCGAGAGAGACCTGGGGAGGACGGTACAAGGAAGGAAGGCCTTATCATCGCAATGAATTAGTAAGTGAATGAAATTAAAATTTAAGAGGCAATTTTCTTCAATGTCACGTATTTGCAATGAAAAGTGTTCAAAACCTAAAATCTTTTTGGCGTTCATCTCAAAATCACTTTGTTTTGGCTTTATTCTCTAGTTTAAACAGTTAGCTACCTTTTTAAATGCATCTGCCGGTTGAGAAACATAAAATAATAGTTAAAAATTGTCAATTAAAATACAATTATCAATGCTTTAAAATTGACGCCATATTTACAGCCATATAAGCAAAACTTAGCGCGAACTTCAGACATCATTTTCCGGCTTTGGCGTATCATCTAAAGTCTAGCTCTTCATTTTAGCATTATTTTACAGATAAAGCACTAAACATACTTTTTAAGTTTGTTTGCCGATTGAGAAACGTATCGAAAAATAAAAATTTTGAATTTAGTCATAACCTCAAGTGGTATATTAATACGCATTAGTTTTGAGCGCGTGTTACGTTACATACAAAAAATCTCTTAAAACCCTTCAGCTATTTAAAAACAGCACTGATACTCAAGAGAAGCTCAGATTGAACCTCCACTCATTGAGTGTGAGTGAGCTTTTAGAATACGGGCGTATATTTGCTTCACTGTATGTACTCATATTTCTGACATGAAAGAAAATAAAATCAGTTTAATAGTATATCTTCTACATACAGTTCACCGGAATTGGACGACCATAGTTCCCCAAGCAAAAATGTCTCCACGACACGGGAATCGGAAGGAGACGACGCCAGCAGCGTGTTCTCTGATGACAGTTTAAGAAACAATCATCGTCGAACGAGGAGAAACTCTTCGGAAAGTTTGGCGAAACTGAGACGATATCGCACTTCGAAATGGAGATCAAGTATTGAGAGTTTAGGATCTGAGACTGATTCACAAACTGATCGTAAGTTCATTAGTTTGAACTAATTAACAAAGTAATTAACTATAAGCGGAAACTAGTTAGTCTTTCAGCTAGTTAAGTACTTAAACGCTGTTCGAATGGAGACGAAAGTTGGCCAGCGAAAGTTTGCATAAGGCTCAAACTCATGAATAATTTATCATGAGTAAATTAGCCAACCATATTGCTTTATTTT